ATCCATTCACAATCTGATGGGAAAAACAGCATTTGATTAAGTCTGAATAATAAAATATAAAACAAAAGCACAGCTTTCAAAACCTTCACATAGCTAGGGACTTAGTTTTTTTATCCTAAAGTTCATGTGATTATTGTGAGAGATCCAGTTTTCCTGCAGGTGAATTTTTATAAAATTGGGCTTTTGTTTCTTTTTATGTGAAGATGAAACCATATTATCATCACTGTGTTGTTACTGCTGTTGAATTCCCCCAGATGCAAATTCAAAAGATGCACTGCAGAATTATTTCCTGGGTGTATACACATGTATATATATAAATAACTGTATATACAGATTTTTTGTATGTTATTATAAATTTGATTATTTGTTTCTATTTGCATAGCATACTTTCATTTTGTCATACAACCTTGTGTTGTATAATAATAAATACATTTCATTGATTCCTTAAATCTGGAGTCTTTTGTGCCGCTGCAAATTCTGTTGACTGCTCACCTGAACATCCCCATGGCTCTCTTCTCGCTTCACATCATACATGATGATGAAATCTCCATCAATTATGGTTTTTTTACATCCTGGACATTTCCTCTGCTGCTCCAGTGTTGGTGAGAAAGAGATGTGTGCCTGAGAGACAAATAGATTCATGTTAAGTGACATTAGTGGATACAGCATTTGTGCTTTCAAAAATTCAAAAAGTCTTTAAAGGAACAATGTGTAAGACACCTGGGGTCATGCCTGATTCTCTTTTCATCGTCAGCTTTTTACCGACAAGAGGAGAGCTCAGAGTTTCTTCTTTTGTAAAGGGGATTTATCTTTACTCTCATTCTCAACCTGCAATTGCACTGCTGTTATTGTAGCTGTCTGTGGGCACCCAGAGCACTATGATACAACTTCATATTTATACAGAGACCGGACAAAAAAGGAGATTGAAAATATGCGTCTGATTCAAGGTCATGGTTTTACTTTACAATGAATTAAGTTAGCATAGCTCTGATTGACCTGAATTCCTTTCAGAAAACAAGCATTGTTTGCGTGTCTCCTTGGGAACAGACCTGACAAAATAGGAATTCAGACTTTTTACAAATTGCCATCATGATGTAGTTGTTTCAATATCCTTGTGATCCTTTTATCACATTAAATCAAATCTAATAACCCCCTGGCATTACTGTTAGAGTAAGAGTTTGGAACATCGGCTATACATTTTGGGACATCGCAAGGTTTATTATGCATATCAAACTGTAATCAATCTTCAACAGTGTCATGGCATCATTGGTGAAAGAAGGTAAAATGCTGCCCCTATTTTCTGGAGTTCTGTGGCCAGAGTTACACATTGCTCCTTTAAACAGGTGGATAGAAGTTTCTAATTCTTTACCTTTGTGTCTGTGACGGTTTTCTCCACCAGATAGAGCAGCTTATTGGTGAGGAAAGTTGCAGTGGCCTCAACAAAAGCAAAGCCTTGGGGCTCATAGATGTCTGCTACAATCTGTCTCCACACACACACATGAACACATAATCACTGAGGCAGATCAAGTGAGGAATCCTTGCGACGTAAAGTCTCATTAAAGCTGCAGTGGTTAACTTTTATAAAAACACCTTTTCGTCATATTCACCTGATCTGGGAATAAGACTCAACAATCACCTTTGGTTTTGACAAATGATTAGAAGCACTTTTCACAGATTATCTATCTCACGTACTACTGTCAGGATATACTGAAAGTTTCAGCAAAACACGTGATCACTCAATGGTTAGCACTGTCACCTCACAGAAAGAAGGTCATTCATTCAAATTTCTGTGTGGAGTTTCCCTGCCGTCAAAACATGTACGGTTAATTCTCCAAACTCAGGTCTGGAGTTAGTTAGGTCGCTCTTGGTATCTAGAATGGGTCAAATGCAGAGGATGAATGTCCCTTTAACATTAAGGAGGCTAACTTAACAAAAATGTACTGCAGCTTTAATGGTGACACAAAGTCCTCACACTTTGCATTCCTAGAGCTGGAGAGATGTTTTTCATCTCCTCCTGACCAGTATGTCACTAATAAGAAAATAAAAGAGGAGAGTGTGTTTAACCTGAAACTCCTGCACCGGTTGCTTGGGTGTAACTCGGGTCAGAATCTCATACTGGCCCTGTTTCCTCTGAAGGAGCTCCTCGTAGGTCAGAATGAAAGTCACGTTGCTTTTGGCTGCAATGTTAACAGACACTGAAAACTTCTCCATCTTCCTTCCAGAAGCCCTGTAATGATGGACATGTATTACTGTAACGTGATGTTCACACCGCCAACACATGTTCCAACCATACTGTAACTTCTCTCAGTCCAACTCACTTGACCAGTCCAGCAGTCTGTCCAGAGGAAACAGCCTTCTCATACTCTTTCTTGGCTTTCTCTTTCTCCTTCACCTC